TAGTTGTTGAATGCTCGATTTCGAATTCCCAATACAATACATTCGTTTGTGCTTGTGTCTCACTTCTTAATTCAATTGCGTTAATTCTGGGATTCCTAGTTCATACGACAATTAGTATACCATATTTATCTTTCAGCTTATCATTACCCGGGGGATCCTTACTAGTCTTGGTAACCTTCGGCGCACGACAGTCCCATCCAATTCGGTATCAAACCAACATCACGTTGATTCTGGTGGGAGAGTAGTGCAGTGGCATTGGACAATAGCCACACAATCCACAAAGCTGAACACAAGACTACTCAGAAAATAGATATTCAATATTTAACGCGGGGAAATACCTAGCGACGGGGAAGGCGCGAACGAGGAATTGAATAAATTGAAGTTAATCGGATGGTATGGCTCAGCCATGCAGGCGTGGTCCCTCTGAATATTACCTTATATCTTTTATTCATATTAAATATATTGTTCCTTCTCTAGCCTAACCTTGTTCTTCATCATGTATTGGTAGTTTTTACGATACAGTGAGTTGGTGTATACGATGGTGTGACTTCCACGTAAGATCTTACAGATTAGGCAGTTATACCATGAAAAATCTACAATTTTGGGATTAGGTCTATTATTAGAGCAGTACTAATATCATAGTAGACCACAACTCTACAGATGTCTATGGTTCATGCGGAAATCCATATTAATGATAGATGGAGTATTATATTTTTGTTATTGACCATACTATTTGAGACAATTATTAGTTCTACAGTCCGTGGTCAGCGGTGTCTTGGACGGGGTTTATGATGACTTGGGTATGGAGACCAGAATAAATGATGCAGGCCATCAAACTCAGATATTGGAAGGCAAAACAAAAAGAGATGACAGACCGGAGTATGTCACAACCTGTAAGACTTTCAAATAATTAAGAGCCCACAAGACACCTGTCATGCACCCTTAACAAATATAGAACCAGGTTACCGGAACGAGGTATTAAGGATTGATATAATTGAGTAATTATGGGGAACCAACAAGGAAAATAAGCATATTCGACCTATGATTGATCACCTTATGACGTTGTGTTAGTCGATTTTCCTAGAAATTATGCGTGCGGAAACTGTAGCCAAAGCGTCATGTAAAGTTTTGGTTGCGCCTTGGGGTGGCTCTGTTCAGCTACACTCGGGAAGAGGTACCAAATTTAAAAAGAAACTTATAAAGCATTACGTCAAGCATTGGGAATTCGCAAAACGAGAACAATTGTCTACCGTTCAGAAGGCAACGGATTTCTCAAGTAACTAAATCGGATCCTCAAAATGCTACTGAAAGAATTTGTTAGCGAAGGGGAAGCTAAACCGTGGGACAGCTATAATTGATGTTTACTAACATTGCTGTAGCGTCCATACGTCTCCTGGACATACACCTCATTTTCCGTCAATAGGAAGGGATAGGATACCTTCATCTGCGGTTTTGACACCAAAAACGCGCCAAGAACCTATATTAGTGTCACAAAATATACTACTAAAGTCTGATAGTAAGACAGAACTCCACCCTGGCGTAGCTGAGAAGAAGTTGGTCTCGTCGAATATTGTTGTGAGTAACTCGCTAGAGTCAAACGATCCTGATCTTCAAATTAGACACACTCGGAGAATTTATCATTAGCACCTAACCAGATAACTCTAAAGTAGTTCAAGTCAAAAAGTGATAAGAATAGGTGAGAGAACTGACGAAAATATTGAACCCTGAGTATATAGACCCGGTCAGGTAATCCTAGGGTCGGGAAAACAACGCGATCTTCTGTTAAGTAGCGTTCGTAGTCACGACATCCCTGACATTCGAGTAAGACCTGATATGTTTCTAGAAGATAGAATAAAAAGGAAGTCGGCACTAGGAACCGGTCAAAAAAATGGTGAGGAAAATCTCCGATTAGTGTGTTTTCGAACAGTCAGGTCTTGGAAGCGAATGCTTCTAAGGCCTGTGTGGATAGGTCGTTCTCCCTAGGAGTTTTATATGCAAATGCTTGTAGTCTAAGAAATGAATCCTATGAACCAGGAGTATCAATGGATAAATAAAGGCCACTCATTGTAGCCATGACGGGAGCTTGGTTAACCCACAGCTTCGGCATTAGTCCGGAATTATCCGGATACCGTTACCTAAGAAGTGATAGACATAGATGTAGGAAAGATGGCATCCTTCTACACATAGCCAATAATATAAATATCCGCCTTTTTGATTGTGAATCCTTTGATAGTGAAAATTGTGAAGTCATCAGCTATGAGCTGCCTATCAGATGTGTACATTTATACTCGGTGTCATCTATCGCAGCCCAATCTGCTTATCTGGTGGCTTTATTTTAGAGCATATTCAGCTATGGAATGCAAATAACAGATTATTGATATTAGGAGACTTTAATACACCTGATATTAGTTGAACTGAGATGACCACGGAAGAATCTATTAACTCCTCTGATAATAGGTTCCTGATAACAGTAATGGAGCATGTGCTAGTACAGCATTATTCAAACCCACACGTTTTGGTACAAAACCAAAGTTCTTTTCTTTTGGACTTGGAAATCACTCACGAGACTGAAGACATTGCCATCCCAAATATTCTTCCACCGCTAGTCAATAGCGATCACGCTATTCTGTCACTCACATTTAGAGCTGGAGGTATGATATACGATCAGGTTAAGCCTCGCCCAAATGTATGGAGAACTAACATGTCAGCCATTTAGGAGTGCACTGCTGAGACAGATTTGTCAACTAGCTCATCAGCTGAAGAAGAATGGTCTATATTTAAAGGCTAGTTTAGTTCAGTTATGTTCACGCTTATACCATGCCTTTTATCGCACAAATAGTATAACTGTCCTCCCTGGATAACCAACCAAGTCAATAAACTTCTTAGACGTAGGAAAAAGCATTGGAATATGTACATCTCTACTGGCTTAGAACAGTATAGATCCAGTTATTGTAAGACTAGAAATGCTTGTAAAGCATTAATAAGGAAGACTAAAGAATCGTACGAAAAACAATTAAGGACTGTTAAAATAGTCTGAAACGGTTATTCCCGTAAAAAATCAGAGAGGTGATGAAATTCCGCCACATTTCGTACGAGAAAATCCGTTAATATTGGCAAGAAATGATGCCAAAAAAGCTGAATCTTTATTGGGATATTGCAGTAAAGTGTTTTCTATCAGCATTGAGGACGACAAATAATAAGTTGTGGTTGGAGAGGCTTATCGATGGATCCCAAAGTGATTCAGAAAGTTACTGTCTTAAGACTATTTTAACATCTCAAACCCCATACGTCCAGTGATCCTGATAATATTCATCCTAGGATTATGCAATCCCTGTCGGACGTGATTTCTGAACCTATAGCTATACTGTTTGGTGTGTATCTGAGGCAGTCCACAATGCTAAGAAACTAGAAAAACTCAATAGTTAGTCCGGTGCATAAGGCGAGGAGCAGGGAATTAGTTAGTAACTATTGACCAGCCAGTCTAACCAGTGCAAATGTCAAACTAATTGAAAAGATTATTTGAATAGCTGTTATAAAGTATGTAGAAGGGGATAATCTTCTTTCCAAAGAACAACATGGTTTTAGGGAAGACCCATCATACTTGACAAAGCTCCTCACTGAAGGAGAAGACTGGGCTGCAGCGAAAGAGAGGGATATCCTCGTAGATGTAATTTCTTAGATCCAAGTAAAGCCTCTGACAAGGTTTCCCATTCGGGACTCAAATTAAAACTTGAGATTTTTGGAATTCATTGTAAGGTCAATGGCCGGATAAGTGACTTTTTCAGTGATAAGAGACAAAGGAAAGGAGTAAATGGGGCTCTACCAGCGTGTGAATCTGTAAAAAGCGGAGTTCCTCTAAATACAACCCTCGGTCTTCTCATTTTGCTTTCAAGTGAATTACCAACTGAAGCAAAGCCATCCCTTTTACTCTTTACCGATGACATAAAGATCTGGAGACCCATATACAGTATGTCACATAGAACAGTATTACAGGATGATCTCATCTGATTGGTGGCATGGATAGACAGATGGTTACTAGAAGTGATTTATAACAAGAGTATGGTGATGCAATTAAATAACTATGATGATTTGTATCACTACACAATACGCGGACTATAAAGAATTAGGAGTAATAATTATAGCGGTAAATTAATCTCCAAAATAAATAGCTCTGTAAGTTTTTCGACATTGGATACTGACCACATTAGCTTTGATGGACTCACCTAGCTGAAGGCGCTCGGTCATGCATCCGCACCAGATCACGAGTGGGAACGCCGTGCTCAACAACCCCTGCAATCGCTAGCCAGATTAGATAAGACGATCCTCGATATATTGATAGCCTGTCAAATATATCTTCGAACCTCCTCTCTTTTATCTTTTGGTTTCACTTGGCGGGTTCGCTTGATATTAGGTGTTACTGGTTAAAGCGTTGTCAGACTCCGAATACCTGTGGAATCTTCATAATGAGCAGCGGTCTCAAAAATACGAGCAACTGTAAGACTGTTGCTTCTGCAAAAGGCTTTAGGGAATTATGGGCTTTTCGTAGGTCTTTTCAGTATTTGGAAGAATAAATGTTTAGATTACTATGTCAGACATTCCAGCTAGAGAGAGGACGTTCCAAGAAAGATCAAATCGTCTACATTTGGACTTTCACACCGAGTAGTGATTTACTGGAATTCCCTACCAAAAAACGTAATATCAACACCTTTTGATATATTCAAAACGATGTTGAGCCTCTACAGTGTTACAAACTGCAAGACTTAATATAGGTCAACAGACCTCCTATCCTTATTAATAAAGAATGAAGTTATGTTTGTGAAGCTCTGAGAGGATATGGCTTGTTCTTCTAAACTAGCGGTAATGACAAAAAATCCTGATACAGTAGATTTTTTAATCGAAAGGCTGAGAGCTGCATGAACTCGGTGCCACATCTTTGTTAGCTGATGACGAGTATTATTGTTTAAAGTAACTTATCTCCATTGGCGCCGCCATTCAAAATTATGTCAAGAGGTGTTAGCAGGTTTCATAGTTCACGTTCTCCTGTTAGGAGGTAGGATTTGTAATCTTTCTTTAGTTTTCAGTGTGTCTAGATGGTCATCTTTTAGTCAGAATCCCAAACGTGGGAAATTAGAAATGGACATGGATTTTGCTGCACCTGACTGGAAATCCTCAGAACTTCCGAAGTTTGAAAAGAAATTTTACCAAGAACACCCGTTGTCAGCCTCTAGATCTGAGGCAGAAGTAGAGGCATTCCGTAAAAAGTATAAGATGTCACTTTCTGGGAGGGATGTCCCTCGTCCTGTACTATCGTTCAATGAATTGAATGTTCCTGACTACATACTTAGTGTAATTGCCAAGAATGGATGGCAGCTCCCAACTCCAATCCAGTCTCAAGGTTGGCCTATGGCACTTTCTGGTCGTGATGTGGTTGGGATCGCCCAAACGGGCTCAGGAAAAACAGCGTCATTTCTGCTCCCAGCTGTCATCCATATTATGGCACAACCGCGATTGCTGCGCAATGAAGGTCCAATATGTTTAATTCTTGTACCCACTCGGGAACTTGCACAACAAGTTCTTACTGTGGCAAAAGAATTTGCGGAAGCTGCCAGCTTACGTGCGATGTGTTTTTATGGTGGCTCTGCAAAAGGCACTCAGCTTCGTGAAATGCAAAAAGGTGGTGAAATATGTATCGCAACTCCTGGTCGGCTCATCGATTTTATTCGGGTTCAGAGGTATGTCAAGTTTTTAAGTCCTAACCCGCTTTTAGAAACCTCTTGTCTAGAGTAACTTACTTAGTACTGGACGAGGCAGACAGGATGTTGGATATGGGCTTTGAGCCTCAGATTCGTAAGATTATAGGCCACACACGTCCTGATCGCCAAACCCTCATGTGGTCTGCAACATGGCCAAGAGAGGTGCAAACGCTAGCCAGAGAATTCCTCACTGATTATATCCAAGTAAATATTGGGTCAGTATCGCTTCACGCCAACCCAAACATCACTCAAATAGTTGAAATAATGGATGATTGGAGTAAAGAACAACGTCTGATTGAACTTTTGACGAGTTTTGGACGAGCACGTACACTAGTATTCGTTGAGACGAAAAGGCGGACGGATCAGCTCACAAATTCACTTAGGCGTCGTGGATTTTATGTAGAAGCGATGCACGGCGGAAAGCAGCAAAGAGATAGAGAGCTCACTCTTGCAAGTAGGTAAATTCATTGTATGATATTGTGTCCATAGACTTTAAAAGCGGAAGGATGAATATATTGGTAGCCACAGATGTTGCTTCCCGTGGTCTTGGTAAGTTTAGTACAAATCTAGCTAAGCTCTTAAGCTGTATCAAAATCAGACTGCTAAGTCAATTTTCTTTCTGCCATAGATATTGACAATATAGAGTACGTGGTGAACTTTGATTTTCCGAACCAGACTGAAGATTACATTCATCGCATAGGACGAACTGCGCGTAGTGATAAAACGGGAACCGCATTCACTTTTTTCACACACAAGAACGTAAGACAAGCTCGTGATTTGATTGACATACTGGACGAAGCCAATCAAGAGATAAGCGCAGAGCTCATCCAGCTGGCTGGGATGTCCAATTACCTCCGAAAGTCTAACGCGCTCAAAAAAAGTGAGTTTTGCCTCGTTCTTATATCATTAGTAGGTTATTGATTGTTCAATATTAGTCAATAGAACCACAAAAAACATCCAGACATTCGATGCATTTACCTGACTGTTTGCTTATCTCTAGTCATTATAGTTTAGTGCTCATAGACATCCAGTTGGTCAGTCATTGATCTGTTACATCACGTAGTTGTGAGCAAAACCCTTTGGGAATGCTCCTCCAACTTGAGCACTACGGGCTGACTCAGGGTGTATATTTGTACTGATGACCCGTAAGTTCCCTTTATTAGCCATCTTGATTTCTTTGAGTTAACGCGGTAAGCGGCACAATATCAGTGTATTTAGATGCTTCGTGATATTAGCAACGTTTTCCTAGCATTTGTTTTAATGTTATGCTCCTTTTTCAGTACCTATGTATTGAGTGAGTCACTACAGTTTTTATTACGGTGACTCCCAGACTTACATTTCATACTGATCTGGGTGGCAGTTGTGTTACTGGGTGTAGTTTATTAGGTTAATGTAAAGGTAATATCGCGTTTGTATTTAATTTTTACCATTTGTATTTTTGTCGACTATTTTGATTGATAATTTTTGACAATGGTTGTTTCTAGTCGAATGTTTCTCTTGTACTTGTTACTGATTATCATGATAGGAAACGAGTACATTTCTATTAACCTGGAATCCGGGCTGCTGTTGGTAATACTAGCGCAATAAAGGAACGCTTTGTACACCCAGAAGCCACTAATGAACTGCCTTTTGCCTTAAGGAGATAACAGTTAATTTGCCATCACTAACAGTAGTTTGGTATCCAAAATCTTCAGGTTATGTAACAGAATTAATGCGTTTGCTTTTCCTACCAATCAGTACACTTCAATAACTCGTTTTTTTGTTTTTGCTATACAGTGTACTTGGTAAAGAACTTAACAGACAGAGATCTGATCATTCAGATTTGCGCAGTTATTTGTCTGTCAAAAAGCTAAACGTATGAAAACTTAGCATTAGTTCGATTAAAAAATAAAAGCGCACTAAAGTTCTATAATTTTAGCCGATTGTCTTGTAATTTGTAGTTTTTCAATGGTCTGCACCGAAAGCCGATGCAGATTTAATCTGTAGATACTTTTTTAACGAATCGTAAATTCGAAACAACCTTATCTTCTATAGATCCATCAGCCTTCCAACAAAAGCCACCTGGTCGTATCACTGGCTTTGGGAATTCATCTTCAAGCTTCCCAACACAAGATATTAGAACCGTCAACTCTGGAATTTCATATCAAAATGGTTCGTCTGCTATGAATAAAGTTAATTCAGCTGCCGGAAATTCTCACTTGCCAACTGGCCAGTTTCTCACAACGTTCAAATCTGCTACTAGCGACCAGCCCATTAGTGGTCGCAAACCCACTTTTAGTAGTCAGACAACTACTTATGAAGGATTACCACAACCTATTCCTGTAAATGACACTCAGATTAAAGCTAGCTTTCCGAAGACTAATGTGCCTAGCTGTGTAAATCTCTCAGTAAATGAGACAGGGAAATGGGATAGGCATGTCAGCGCAGAGAAAGTTAGTTCTATATTAACTGCACCGATTCCTGTCATTCAAAATTCAAATACAGTAACTGAAGCAAGTGATCAACAGTGGTCCACTAACCAATGGGGGACCGACAAAAATCAGGTCCATACTCATTGGAATCCATCAGTTCCTGACATTTTGTCAGCCAGTGGTTCGTTTGCTCAGCGTTCTGCTGGTCAAAATCCTAAACGGCCGACGCTCATGGATCCATCTGCATCTCATATCAGTTTAGTAAATCCCAGCAATGATATATCTCTACCAGGTATTAGACCTCGAGGTACCATGAATCAATTGAATGGGCCTTCGACAAATGTTGCCCAATATGTACAGCCATGGTCAGGTTTTGTTTCAAATCCCTATTCATATGCTGTGCCACTCCCTACTGCTACTGACATACCAGCCACACCTAATTGGGGTTCTGGATGGGCTCCAAGCTTTCACGGAGGTTATTAAATAACAATGTTTACCATTTCCTTATGTTTCCAAATTTATCAAGCTAAAAATCTTTCTTAAGAGGCTGTCGACTTTCTTATTCGGCAACCTCTAACAATATTGTTTTCTTTTCCGCATTCGTACTAAAGCAGTACGAATAAAAATGTAGCTTTCATTGAAGCCAAGAAAGCGTTATCAGTAATTTTACAGTTTTGATTTTTTTTAGTAATTAGTGTGCAATATATTAACTGGTTTAGATAATATGAACCTATGGAGTCTGGCAAAATCCTACTTTTATTTTAGCATCCGTGTAAGTTACTTTCACGGTATCGAATATTTTCGTTAAAGTGGCCACCAATTGACGAGTACTGTTTTACTTGCCTAAGTACCTCAGATTATATCCGATTTCGTAATGACATTCAGATTAAACCCACGTTTCATCAATTCAGAAAAGACATCGTCTAAGGTTAAATGGAACATGAATAATGATTTATGTACGCTACTGAAATCTTTGTTCTCTAGTCAAACTAGTACATTGTAATCAATCGCCTGTGATCCGGCTATATACTGCTTTTAGTTTGGTAATTTATAAAAGGTTTCTCGCATGTATCAACCTAGGGTCATTTTCACTTCATGTTGCTTCTATTTTGGTAAATCCGAGAACTTATATCGCTCAATATAATTTTCTCAAATCTCAAGCCTCTGTTCATTATGTTGCTTCTAATTTAGTACCCATTAAGGTTTCACTGATCCATCTTATTCTTGACTCTAATTGTTAGAAGCATTAGCAAAATTATATGACTTTTGGTTTGTGATACTGTTTGTCTTGGTACCTGAGTTATTAACCGCTAATTAGTCGAAACAGTTTATTTTGAGATTTGAATGTTCAGATTAGACTTCAGTGTTCCATGGATTTAAGTTAATGGAGTATCATATTCGTTCTATGAACCCAGTGTTACATTATTTCTGAGTATCCATTAGAGCATACTCTATAGTTGAATTATGAATATGGTTACTGTAGCACGTGTTCAGTCTTTGTTTGGGATCATTCATACAAACAAGAATCAGATTTCGTCGAGATACATAGTGTAGAAGGCGGCGAATAAGAAGTTAGTTTCCAGTTTTTGTGATTTTTTCGCTGGTTTGCCGTTGATTAAAGTGTCTTCGTTCACTGACTTTTCTCATTGTTTACGGCATAGAACAGATTACTTTTTATCTATTCTATGTTCGTAATATTGATAATTTGATCTGAATGTGTATGTCAGATAGTGTCACATTCAGTGAAGAAACCACAAGTCTTTCCTGCGTATGTTCTTGAAAAAGTAAGATTTGTAGTAGCCAGTTAGTATTTGCCACTCCTTACCAAGTTCGTGATTACACAAGGCTAACAAAACAGCAATTGTGCAAATTTGATTTAAATGTCATCGTAAGAATTAGTTCATTTTAGTGTTTTATTGTGGTCTAGTGAATGTTTATTTAGATTAAAGCTTTAAAACATTTACTCATCCTATAAAGGTATCCTAATAAAGTGGTCAAGTGTCTATGGAAAGGTAGGTATTGAAATGAATTATCTTTTAATTTAATTTAATGAATTATCATTTAATTTTGAAGTCGTTAATATCAAACCTACACATTTTGTGGGAGTGTGGACCCAGCTTCCTTTCACTTCTTAGCAGTCGGTAGTTTTACAAATTAATGCCATGTCTCAATCTGATCATCATACAAACTAGGAGAGCACACTAGACGTGGTGACATATCTGAGTCACTTTAGTCACCAAAGGTTTATAAATTCACTCACTGATTTATGTGCTTCGTACTATACTATTCGACGGACACTAAGTAATTTAAACATACTGTTTCTCAAATACTATCGAGTTTCTATAATCTGCTCATGACTCATTCGTAAAGCAGAGTAAGGGAGAGTTATCCTTACAAGGATATTTCCGAACAATCTGAGTTCGCAAACGTTCTAATCAACTTGGTGGCAGTATTGAAGTTTTATAGAACTATTTGAATGTGGTAAAATACTTTAGTTGTTTGGCTATGATTCGCGATGATTACATTTGTATTTTAAAATTCCGATTACATGTAAAAATCACGAAATATTGCTTTACTCGACATTATTTAACCCCTCAGTACTGTGAGAATGTCACTGTAAAAGATGTGTCAAAGTAATGTTTTGCTCCTGATGTGTGTGGGAGTGTGAGTTCGTCCTCAGGCCTCATTAGTCAATAGTAATTTAGTTTGTAAAGTGCTCTGAATTTTGATTTTCCAATTGTTCATGCTAGTATCTAAGGTTCTCAAGCAACATAGTTCAATAGTGGTATAGAAATAAACAAATAAAACCTACCGGTTGCGTGTTTTAGACCAAAACGAGTGTTGATTTTCATGAGTGGTTCGTTGATTTGTAACTAACTTCTACACTAGGAGTGACTACCGTTGGAATGGTTCAGTAAATGGTCTCTATCTTTACAGTCTACGATGGATGTCAACAGTTATTCCAGGCATGTTTTTAGTCCAAGTATTGTGTAAGAGGTCAGCAATTAAATCTTGGAGAATCGCTATATTACGAATAAAGTGTTTAAAAGAGCGTTCTCAATTTTTTCAAGCTGTTTTGGTTTTCATCGGGAAAGGGGTTGAGTTTAAGATTGTTGTGTAAGTAAAGTTAGTGTCCTTGGTGATTTGTTACCAGTCTTTGAGGTTGGTAACTTCAGACCTTCAACAGCACTCAAGGTGGAGTTTGATAAAAATCGTCAAGAGCACATTTAAAATTAGCGTCGCTCATGGATTCCCTGATATTCAGTAAAAACATGTATAAAAACTATCAATCTGAAGATTTGAAGTTTAAAAGTTCCTAGTGAGGGACAGTCGTTCTCAATGACTACGTCCAGGGTGTGTCATTCGTAAATTTGACAGGTCAAGAAGATAAACTGTAAGGCTTCGATTTAAGATCATGCAAATAAAAATATAAATAGGGAAAATGCTATGACCTTTCAAATTTACGTATAACACATTTCGACAACATTTAAGCCGTAATCAATGTATTAGTTCATTCTTTTAACGTATGACGTTTAGTTCACTTAACTTGTTTTAGCCATTTTGATACAACACTTACGGATTTATAATTGTAGAACATTATAACGGTTTTACTAAACGGTTATTCATTTAGGTGTTCTTTGTTTCCGGTTTTTTTGTGGGGATTTTTAAACAAATGGGATCTTTGGCGCTGACAATACCACAAATTCGGAGAAGACAAACAAAGTTAGGTGTTCAAGGAAGATATCAAATCTTCACTTTGCACAAAATTTGAAGTCAATACAATAAACTTCCTCAATTGTGTTGTTTATCAGGACTGCTACAAAAAACTTCACGAATCCCCTTGATCGACCGATCATGTAGATACATTTGCTTCATTTGCATATAATTACATGTCTTATTTAGTGCTAAGTTAGTAGACGAACATGCATTACCAACATTAGTTCCTTCAAAATATGACTACAAACACCTGTTTACCGTGGATTGCCGATACCCTTCCAATGCACTAAAATGTTATGACTTTGTTTTATCAATGGTTTACTTCTGTAGAGTTAGTACCCTAAATTCAAGATATTTCCCACTAAGTTCGGAAATTACTGCCAAGTTGAGTTAACTAGCTTTCAGTTCTTGTTCTCCTAGCGAATTGCTTTTAATTGTTAGGCTTCGAACTGATACATTGTACAATGTTCCACAATTTGGCCTTGTCAATCTATTTCTCATTTTTAATGACATTCTTACTGGTAGGGAAGCTCGAAACAAGAATTTGGTGACGTATCAGTTTCAAAACAACACGATGATGTTCTAATGTCATACAGGACCTAACACCGCAAATTTGGAGTGGTTGTGAGTCGCCGTTGGTAACAAGGTGTTTGCTACTTCTGTGAGCAGTATATTTAATCTTTCAGAAGTATGAAGAAGTTTCACTGGTACTTCGACAAAACCGGATATTATTTTGACGTTAAAATAATAGAGAAATGTAAAGAATGTGTTTCGAAAGCAAGTTTGTAGACCTAACTAAGAGTAATATGTCTTTTGATGCTATAAATAACAACTTAGGAGCGAGCTTACAGAAGTACTTGTTCAGGCTATATAATGTGCTTTATGCTTATTATCCAATGCTATCTCCGTAGTAAACAGGTTTAAAGCGACAACCAAAATAAATGATCGTATTTAGAATATTATTAGGTGCACCGAGTCATTCGGCCCATAATTAAATACAAGTTAAATTTCTGAAGTTTTTATGGGTTGATAAGTTTGTTGAGTATATTAGTAGCAGCCAAACAAGATGTTGGTAATGGATAAACACGTCTTGATATGTAAACGTGACTACTTTTGTCTCGGGTTCAGAATTTTCTTTGCTATTATCCATTTTGTTTATGCATCGGTCTAATTTTTTTCATCGCCAAGTATTATGTGAGCCTATTTAGTAAAAATTAAGTAAAAATGTCTTAATTTATTTCCTTTTGTATATCTTTTATGCTTATCTGCTTTTTAGTTGTACCGTTTTCCGGGCTTATGTCCGTCTTGACAGTGAAATGTAATGCAATATTCGACAATTATGCTTTCTGTAGTCTGAAGTAATAATACAAATACTGGACCTACATACATATCTTATTCATTTAGTATAATACTAGACTGTTATCATTCTGTTGTTTGTTTTAGTTGAAGTCGAACATTAAAACCATTGAGTATGCTGGCTGAGTGGTCTAGAGGTCAAGCGTCCGCGCGAGACTGAAGGTCTTAGATCCGGATCCTGTGTGTGGGGTCCTGGATGTGCACTGTTGAGGAGTGTCATACTAGGACGGAACAGCCGTTTTATACTCTCAGGTTTTCAATGGTGGTCTAACATTGATCGGTCCATGATTTCAATGTTTGTTTCCCATTATTTCTCAATATCTAGTTTCGGCAGTCATACATGATTTTTGCTAAATACCTGAAAAAGCTATCTGTGCAGATTTGAAGATAACAATTGTATTATCTTTGGAAAAATTAGTCTCTTGCTTATATGGTATGCTACTTAGTTTCCATACGAATTCTCTTACATTGTCTACTGCTAAGAAATTACGGTTTATTGTTTAATTAAAGCGACTCTTCTATTCACCACTTGCAAATATAATCGTTATTCGGCGATGGTAATAAATCGTTTATGATTGTACGTTTAGCTTTTCAGAATACATCCCATTTTGTGGAAGCACTTTCGTGTCGGTCTCTTTTATTCACTATATTTAACTAATCTAACATGTCCTTTCGGTTTATTCACGTTTTCATTCCCTGCTTTCGCAGCTGCCATTCAGCTTTTTGATCTTGAAATATGTATTTCAAAAATTGTTTTAACTTATAATTATTAGTATTATAGGTTTATGCGACAATGTTGAATGGACTATACATCTTGACGATGTACACAGGCAGAATCTGTCAATACGACAAGTGTATCTCCAAATTTTTGGAATTCTTAAACTCAAAATCATTTGTCATCTACAAACATATTTCTATTTGAAAGATTTATGAGTATCATGGAAAACTCGTTGTTCTTGCTTGTTTATCTCGCAAAAACTTAAAGCATAACAAACGTAACTAACTACCACCAGGAATAATCGTTTTACTATTTTGATTGGTGCTTCTGAACATTTTTCTCAATGAAATTTGGTTTGAATTAAGATCAATTGCAGCTTTACGAAATATCAGTGTATGATAGTTAAATGGATTTTTCACTCAGAATTTTAGTGTTATATATATATATATATATATATATATATATATATATATAGCGGAACATGTGTCTTTTATTCACAATGCTAAATACGACTGACTCAGTCGATCGAGGGGTCTCATGGCAGTGCTTGTCATCACAGTGGATCACGAAATGCGTAAACATGCTGTGTAGAAATTTATGAGAAACTTTCATGATTATTGTCATCTTCTACTGCTGTTATTCAAGGACACCTACTTCATTTTTACTTGAGTACGTTAGACGATCCTCTATAAGTTCATTTTACTGTCTCAGAATACCCAAATAACAGTTCTGTTCGATGAAGATGCTGACCAAATACTGTCTTGTTATCTTAAACCACTGTGAAAAGCTTATTTGGGATATTGCCGCTCTCCCTCTAAATACAAACTTGTTTGAGGAGTAGTCTGTGTGTACTTCGAGATCAATGATGCTGGCCACATCTCTTATCTTGGAATTTTTATTAACCTAGATGAGTTAGTGTCTATCGAGATTGCAACAAGAATTTGGGAAACTCGCTCGACTTCGATGCATTGCTCGCGTATAGTGAAGCAATGGAGAGGTGCAATTTATGGTCCCAGATAACATGGCAAATCGGTTGATGTGACTGAAGCGGGTGGAAAGTATGTTGCGTATTCCAAACTACCACCCTCTAGGGTGCCTAACGTCTAGAGTAGGGATCTGTTAGGAAAAAAATAATTAGAGAATCCAAGATTCTCATTAGTCTATGTAATCATAGACTGAGTATTAGTAGGTAAAGACTACCTGTAATTGATAATACGTTAGTTAATACTTCAATTAATTTCATAACAGCTTGGGCCAATACATATTTGTGCTAGACTGAGTTAATTTTGACCATTACTCAAGAAAAAACATCCCAATTATTCTTGCTCGTTTTCAGTAGTTTATATAACATTGACCCACTGTTTATCCTGCTGTTTATCTAACTGGCCAAATTATCGATTCCTACTTAGTAATAATCACCGTGTAAATATTCATTAGGTCTGTGAATCATGAATGCAGAAAATGCTTTTGCAATACTCGTATTTGTCGGGAGCATATTGATGGTGCTTCAAAATTATTACTCCCAGGCACTTTCCAACAAGGAGAACCAGATTCTAAATATGATAAGTTCAAAAGTAATATATAAGGATCCAAGATGTGTGTGGTATAATCAGAACTCCCCTCTGGGTTTTGACGTTAAACAATATTTATTGGGAAAATCATTTGCATTCAATTTAGATTTTAAAAAATTTGTGCCGAAAGTTTATTTTCAAAATGGTTGATCTGCTATTATTGTTACCTGATCCGAAAATATATCTACCTCCTTCCTTCGTTCAGGATTAAAGTATGAAATCGTTCTAGGGATCCTATTCATTGATTATAGCCAAAATGCAAACACACATTTTCAAAGGAGTGTAACAGTGATTCTCAAGATAATAACATTCAAGTTCTCTGAACATAATGATTTCCATACCTCAAACAAATTGACAAGCTTAATCCCGTGAAGTCGTAAATACTGTGGTGTTACACTTTATCATTGTCAAATAAATGGTAAACCGAGAATTGGAAATATTGAGGTTGTATGTTCATGTTACAGGATTTTCAAGTAAGACTAGGGTACATGCTGCATTTATAACTAATTACCATGATTCTTTGTTAACATTTGAATTGTCATTAGGATGATACCCTTTAATTCTATTCGGGTCATCAGAAATTATCATTCACTTTCACGCTCAGGGGTGCCTAAAGCTGAAGAGATGAACCTATTTGTTTGGTTTTCGGTACATGCATTAACTATCTGTATGTAAATTTTTCTATGTACAGATAATTTCTACATTTTGTAAATAGCTGTTAATGCTACTCTCAATAATGATTATCATAGAACCTGGCATAGTTGTTTTGGCCCCCCAAATGCCCCAGGAGTGAGGAGTCAGTTCTCCCGCAAAAACGCCTTCATATGACCGTGCGTATACAACCACTGTCAGGGAAGTCCTACTCATTGCCTTCTCGCTACATTACAGTTGTTTAGAAGATTGAGAGGACGAGAAGCAAATCTCCAGCGCTTTAACCGGGTTGGTGGATCCGGTGAACTCAATTAGGGGAGTTGGAAAATTCTAAATCAATGGTGAGGGAACAAATGGAGTATGAACCTATTGTTGATGACCGGCTGCCGTGGGACTGTATCTCCTTACGTTGCTCCACTTCCTTGTGGATTAGACCTTCGTAGAGTGACCACCTACTTTAGTTTGGATAATCGTGCAGTATGCCAGCCCTCATACAAATCGAGTGGTTTATTTGGTGCCACCTTTACCAATGTTTAAGTGCTTAAATAGATAAATGAAATAGGCTTTCTCTTTACCAATATGGTAAGGCTATAGGTTGGTTGTTATTTCAATTTAGTGTCCTTTTTACGGAAAAGCTATGGGTTTTTTTTGTTCCTTTCGAATGATATAGAAATCTTTCCACTTTTCATCAACCATCACTGCATTATACATAGAAAATATTTCCAATTTAACTTTCACTCTGACTTGTGATGTTGGTTGAACCAATGTCAAAGTAACTAGTTTGAGGATGACTGAACTGTTATTTATTTTTAAGTTTTGTGCATTTATCTAAACTAGTTCTTGTGATCGAAGATCACAACTGAAAAACTGTTGGTGCTTATTTTCTGCCGACCAAATAAATAAATTTGGTTAAGTAAGTTATCGTGTATAATATTATCTTTGTGTTGTTCTATCTCAACCCTGATGCAAAAAATACGTACTTACTATTTGTTCGTCAAACCAACAAAGTGAAATTTCATGGTTACTAGCGTTCTCTACAACAATAGGTTTGTCATTTGCTTGTTTTATGCTAATTAACATAATTCTGCATTTTAATTTGCAAATACGAATTTATAATTATGGAATACTTATAACTAACCAATCAAATTTTCTTTAATGTTTATTTGTGCTGTATCAATTTCGTTATAGTTTTATTAACATTTTCTTGTCTCAGTTTCACAGATTCATATCTGTATATCACTTGTGTCATGATGAAAATAACACAAGCATCACTAATTGTTATATACTCAATTCATTTACTCTTTACTGAAAGCCTACTGCGAACTGAACAACCAGAAGGTTATCGCATAGAACGGGTTGGATTACATGGAAGAAGAGTCAACTTTACATGGTACAGGAATGTAACAATCCGGAGCTGGGTTCAGGCAGCTGATAAGTGCTCTTTCTTAAATAGCCTGCTTCCTAAAGTTACTGACATGCGTTATTTCTACAAAACATTACAGTCGGATGATGTTATTTCACCAATAAGTAAAACGTCTGAGAATAAAACTCACAGCGGTGTCGTCTTTTACCTTGGAGATATTCTAGAAGCTACAATGGACTATCCTAATATCGAAAGTGGCGAAAGAATGTGTCTGACAATTGAAAAAGTTCCAGGATCTCAGGTAAATCATAATCTTGTTCTCTCTTAACTAATACTAAGAATATTCTCATGCGTAGTGAATTCAGCACTTTTTCATTACCTCAAGACGTATCATGTTATTCTTATTATAATCCGTTTTCACTCCTTCATAATTGATTTCAACAACGGATCTCCCATTGTATGTTTCCCATCTCCAGCCATTGGTAAACCAGTGCAGCTTAGCAAAATTGTTACTGAATCTATGAACTGATACTACATTTCTATTTAGCCTCCTAACCTTTTTACAACTTGCTCTTACACCATCTATCATCGCACATTGAAGTAAGCAATGGTTAGACGTACTTAGTACAGATTTCAACCACTTTATCCGATGGAAATCCCCTACATCACCAGTCGATTCGCCATGCCTACCTAGTACTCCATTGCTAAGCTCAGCACTGGGGCATTCAGTGGTTCCAACAAGTACATGTGGTTGTATACTAGGGACTTACGAATATCCATTTTTCTTAATGACTATGAATTAGTAAAAGCAGAGTGCTGCGCAGTATAGTTGTCCTCTGGATGCAAGACGGAAATCTTGTTCACAATAAAGGAGATGTAGGTTGGTAATGGCAGACCGAGTGTGCTAAGTGCGCGTCGAGATTTCGTCAAACAATCAGCTTCCAAAATTAAGCAGAATACACATTTTACTTCACTCCCAATAATTAATTCAAGGGTTGATGCAGGTTCTGTGTCAACATTTTGTATTTTGATGGAGAAAACGCATCCCAAACATTTTCGGAATGTTTTAAGCAATCAAACTGGACTATCATCGATGTATTCCAAAAGAACAAGAGAATATCCTGGTAGAAGGTCGATTCCTGATAAATCAGACGATAAGAGCAGTATCTCTAAAGGTATGTCAACAACAAAGTTGAATAAAAATGAATGAAGCAAAAAACCCTAATAAACATCACTTGAAGTCATCAATTCCGATGACAGTTCAATATACGCTATGACTTGACCAGTTGTGTTTGAGTAAAGAGTTTATACAAAGGTAATGTAATTGTTTCTATGCCTTTCATCAACAGACATCGCCATGAAACGCTTTCTTATGGCCAAGAACAACGATAAGCTAGCAAAATACAAATATCTGATCAACATACCTATGTACTGGTCTGAAACCAGTCTGGCTTTCTCGAGCTAACTCATCGCAATTCCTAATTAAGCATCGGATAATTAGTAAGGTTGGTCTTTTAGTCATACTATCACTCAAACTGATTCCTCTGTGGTTGTCACAAGAGGATTTCCGTCATTTCTTATAAACTGAAGCAATCAGCGATTTAACCTAGTCACTAAATTGCATTTAACTTCGAAACTGTAGCTAATATCTCAGTCAATCTAACCACTAAAAGTGGATCACCACAGGGTGATCATACTGATTATGAAAGAATTTTCCGGAATGCTTTTACTGTCATTTGTTTGCACGAAGCTTCCGAAACGTATCGATCTCGTTCTCAGAAACACATACTTTCCTAGGACAGTTTTGTTCTATAATGTCGAGAAATTTATTTTTGTGGAATGTAAGCAGCTACCTGGTCTGTATAACAGCAACCATATTTGTTACATATATTTCAGTTACATAATGATTATAATTTGAAGAGTTTGAGTAACTTTTTAACCCTTTCTTTTTTCAGTTACATCTAGCCGAATCATCTGCAGTGAAAAGTTGCTTAACTCATGCTAACCTACTTGTATGTAAATCCGAAGTGGACAGTAGTAGCGTGACAAATTACGATGATGATTCGTACCCACATATGTGTAATTTTGCGGACGATAAATGGTTTGGTCCATTGCCAAAATGGATTCTTGACTTGAAGCAAAAAGCTGAATTCAGACAAGATCATATATGCCTAACAAAACTTTTATTCTGTATTACAGCAGGTAAGTAAGCTTAATACCAACATATAGTTATTTAATGTTAGATCTTTGCTATGAACTCTAATACGTAAATTTTTTACAGCAATAGTCCAATCATCATGGTTCGTGTTTTACATTAAAATTTCTTATTCATGTAGTGTGTTCTGGGCTAATCGTCGTCCTTTTCCTTACAAGTACAATAATTTTGGCTGTTCGGTACAAATGCCTAGTTCTAAAAATGAAAAGAAAACAGACTGGAACGGATGGAACCAACGTCTGGGCACAAAATTCAGAAATATCACAATGTCTTTTAGGTGAAACAGATGGAAGATTAGATATTCTAGCTGATTCAGCGTTTCGTCGTGATCCTAGTGGTTTCACAAGAGGAAGTTATAAGGAAGCACTAGTTAATAGCGGGTATCAAAGAATTTCAAATGGACGAATTAAAGGCCTCCATACATCGGGTAAACCTCGATCTGGAACAATAACATGTTAGTGTACTAAACAGTTATCAAGTACTTTTAAACCTGAATGGATGAAACACTGTATAGTTGTTTATAGCAAATTAAATTTTTATAAAATATTTATTCTTTTATAAGCGCTTGTACATATGGTTGTTCTTGGTATAATAAATCGCCGAATAGGCCAAATGTGAGCCAAAAGTATTTAAAATTTCATGTACCGTGCGTTGTAAGGTGCAAATTAATTGGGACGCACTCATTAGTCAAAAACAATTTGGCGCAAGGTGAAATAAATTTGACGGTTCTACAAAATTGTTGATGATAATTGTAAGGTGATGATGAAACTAAAACATATTTCTGATTCGCAGACTAGCTTTTGGTGACCTGTGCTTTCTGAGCTGCATCGTTTAACCATTAACGCAGTACCTACATAACAATAAAGGTTGATTCAACGAAGTATCACTACCAAAAAGATAAGCTTGTATTTCGCACCACAACAGTTGAAAGATGCTGCACAAATTCCCCTCAGAAATTAACTACCGATTTTCATAACTTACGCTTGTTACCCCTCGTGGAGGAACATAGTACGCCCATCAGTATTCTCCATCGAACTCTGTCCTGGGCTATTCATCCTTTTGGTGTCTGCTTCCAATTCTTTTCCGTTCCTCTTCATGATTCTATGTAAGCACTTGTATCGTGATGCAGTTTATATATGTCCTACCCACCTCTAGCGTCTTTTCCTAATTTCCTATTCAGTTGGAAGCTTTGTTCTCTCCCACATGTTGTTGCTGACTTATTATCATAAACAGTTTTATAATTAGTACAAAGCTAGTGTACAAACAGGAGAGTTATTCGTATATCACGCATTTAGTAGATGGAGAGTTTCGCCGACACGACACTCAACTTGTGAGCTTTCATCATTACTTTCACGTCTTGGGTTTTAGGCCAGTAGGCGAAGGACTACATAATTCTTAATAAAACACAGATAAAAACAATATGTCATAAAAAATTCCTACTCTTCAATAGGATAATAACTTATGTCTGATTAGTTTTCCTTGTTTTTAATTGACTCTTGTAGGAACTATTTTTGGGCTACTCAAAGTGGTAAATTCTGTTTGGATAATTGTCCCAAGTAGATCATATTAATTGAGAACTGTTAACAATAAGGGAAAGTACACACAATTTAACGGGATGCGGTTTAGGTAATCAAGTTTCACAAAGGAATATTCGTAAAATGCTATTTCTTCTCTATAACAGTTTTCGTTAATTCGCGTATTGCTATGGTAGCGTAACTGGATTTCGGTAAATTAAACGTTAAGACGATAGCCTGCTGTTTTCCATCTAAAATAAATAGGATTTCATGAATACAGTGAGAACATCACTTATACGTAGATATATAAATTAACATAAAATGTCTACAGAAACATTATTAATAATAACCTGCACACAGCTTTAAGAGACATTTTTACAAGAATTGCCATGGTCCTTCGATGTTGCTTCGAGAATGGATCAACTTATGTTAAGCTCGAGTAGGTTATGAATAAGTAGACTGCCTAACTCCAGGTTTCTAGAAGATCTTCGTTGCTAACTAGGATATGAAACAGATTTCTGAATTTTGCAACCCAACGGTAAATCATGCGCATTTTCACGGGTTTCCTAAATGGATAATGGTAAATCTAAAGAAGAATGTGGAGCATTATCAAGCTGAGACATTGTTTATTTTGTGATACTACACATTTGATGACAAGAAACCTCCCTTTTAAATTTATTTGGATAATCTTACTAAAAACTACTTGCTTAACAAGCACATTAATAGCGAATAATAAACATAAGGGATATTTCATTGTAAGATCTATCTCACGTTGAATAGTTTAATTCTTTAAATGCATAATAACTAGCTACTAAGAGGAATAATACACAAATTCTCAACTACCTGAAATGTAGCATCATACAGTCTGCGAATGAATCTTGAGATGAGCGATATCTATTGAATGAGGGCTAGTGGTGCCACCACTTTGGTGTCTAAAACCCGATAGGAGGCGTGAGATTCGAAACCATGGAAGTTGTATAAGCGTAAATCAGTTACAGATGTAATACTGTGTTTTAAACATCCAGCTAATAGTGGAAATAAACTGAATAAGTACGACACAACCCGCATATCAAATATTTGTAATTTTCGTTTTTGTTCATCTACGAAATACTTCGTAAGTAAACACCTTTAAATTAGAAGTTAGAGCCGCACAAACAAAATGCACCGTTGATACACTTACACACAATATGACTGAAATAAATATGTCGGCATAAAGAGATACTATCTTCTAATTTTTTAAGCGTACATTTCATTATTTATTTGAACACACAAATATTGGTACGAGAGCACGCCAAATATAAATACGCCACACAAAACAATGAGAATGGGAAGAAAGAAAAAAGGTAAGGTACGTAAAATAGAAAAAAGAACAATAACGGCCAGATTAGTGTAAGGTAGTGTGACAATAATAATAATAATGGGCGAAACGGAAAGGTACAACCAGAAGAAATCTTCCACTTAGGGGAGATACAACCACTTTTTATGAAGAAAGTAAAAGAAGGTTAAAGCAGGATCGCCATTGGCTTCTATTCTGAGTCATATATGATAACGTCTCTAGCCACTGTGTTGCACCATTACTCGGACCCCAACCAGGGAGTCGTGAAGGACCGACATAAGCCAGACATTTGCAGCTTTCTTTCACACCACGACACCATGTCATACACTGACCAGCTCTCCGCTATTTCCAACCAGTCCCAGAGTCGGCAAATAATGCACAACGTGGAATTCTCTGGGACGACATTCGTAGGACCAGTCCAAGCCACCGAAGTCGATGTTTCAAGGTGGTGACACCAATCGCATTGTCGTCTCCGCGTCCGAACACACGATGCCGAACCTCTGCATTACTGACATGGTGTTGCCACTGAATATCAGCAATCCTTCGGAGACAACGATGATCAAACACAGAGAGTCGTCTAACATCCTCAACTCGGAGAGGCCAGGTTTCACAAGCATAGAACAGAACTGCTCTCACCGACGCATTGTAGAATCGACCTTTTACGGCCAGACTGACATCACGAAGGCGTCAAAGATGGCCCAGATTGGCATAAGCCGCTCTGGCTTTCACTATACGTGTATTGATCTCATCACTCACGCCACCACCAGCACTTATGCAGCTACCTAGATACACGAACTTTTCGGCTACTTCAATCTGCTCACCATCCAGAGTGAGTAAAAGATTAGAGTCCTGCCAGTCTTGTAGAAGTACTTTGCACTTCGAAGGTGCAAAGCACATACCGTACCTACAGACATCGTTTGCCAACTGATTAAGTGTGGATTGCATGGCTTGGGCATTATCGAACAGTAAAACAATATCATCCGCATATTCAAGGCCGAGAAGTCTTTCTCCAGGCAACGGATCCACACCGCTATTACTTGCATCCATCAGAGCTGCTTCCAGAATGTCGTCGATGGCGAAGTTGAAGAGGAGTGGTGAGACTGGGCAACCATGCCTAACCCTACTGTTCGAGGGGAACAATGAAGAAAGGTGGTTGTATGCCCTCACTCTGCCTGAGGTGTTTGTATATAGGGCTTCTAGGATGTTAATAAACTTCTCAGGCACACTCTTCTTCAATAGACAATCCCAGAGAACAGTCCTATCCAACGAATGGAAGGCATCCCTGATGTCAAGAGACACTATGATTGTTGGCCTTTGATAAGTATGAAGGTGTTCTATCATTTGGCGGAGGGTGAAGATATGATCAATACATCGTCAACCGTAACGAAACCCAGCCTGCTTCTCTCGAGTCAATCTTTCTCGGGTTTTGAACAACCTACGAAGTATGACGGAAGCCAATAGCTTGGACGCAATCGGAAGTAGACTTATCCCCCGATAGTTGTTACAAAAACGACGTGAACCCTTTTTAAAGTAAGTGTGTAGGTAAGTAAAGTAAGTAAGTTTTGAACAACCCACGAGGTGTGACGGAAGTCAAAGGCATTTCATATAACATGAGATATTGTAAAATGCATACGAATGAAAGTATTTAAAGAAATTTGGTTTAATTACCTTTATCTAAGCAGATATCATTATTTTGTGTTTCATTTTGTGAAGCAGGAGTTAAATACTACTTGTAATTGTACCATTTAGTAACTGAAGATCAGACTTCACTAGAGGTATATCAGGGTTTGAATATTCATGAAATTCGTATTTAACGTTTTCCGGGACAACAATTAATTTACGATAAGAACCAGGGAGTGCAAAATCTCTACAACAACAATGAAATTTCGCTAAAATACAGATTCTACATGTACATTGAGATGGAAGTAAAAAAAATTGACAGATGGAGCGGTCATTGCCAATAAATCGCAAATCATTATAGGGATCAAACTTTGGGTCCAACAAACCTGTCTTAGATTTGCTTCAACTGAATAATTATGAATGGTATAAAAAATTTACAGCTTATTGCTATGCTGGAAAAAGAGGAAAACGAAGACATCACAGTTGCTAACATTCCCCCCCCCATTGTTTGCACTCCGACGAAATTAGAGACGATGGCATTAGTATTCATCCATCTCATAAATGATAAGTTAGTAATATAGTTGCTGCAGCTGAGTGGGTAGAAAAATTTTGATTCACATATATACGATATTCATTTGGTTTAATAAATAGTTGAGTGAGTGTGTTTAATATTCATTATGTGTTATCACTTCAATGGTCTACTTCAGAGATTTAATCTGTGGAACTTAAGATTACAAATACAATGACTTAAAAAGGGTTATACGAAATTAGAAAGGAGTATGTTATTGTGAGGACATCTCACTGATTATTATTATTTTTTAATATCTAGTGTAAAAGGTATACAAAAATCAGGATTACACGAAAAAAATATTAGAGAATTGGACTTACTTAACTGAATGACTGAAATCTTTGACTGTCAAACAATCTTCTTTTAGTAATTCAGTATAGCAATCAGCGCCTAAATTAATTATTGAGAATAAGCAAATAGTAATTGTATAATGATCTTGTAGAATTTGTACTTATATGAGAAAGCAATAAAGGTTTTAGTTGAATTACTTTATGTAATTCAAGAGTTGAAAGGAGTACCAAGGCAAAATTAAGCTTTTCTAAGTCTAAAAAATGTTTGGATCGAGAGGAGGGTATTGAGTTTGCTATCACGTGTTCAGAGGAAGTTGTCGATTGAGTGGGTAAGTATAAAATAGGTTATTTTTTATATCGGTTACCAGCCTGACGGATACATCACTTTAAAATGAGCTATTGAAACGAGGGACTTATCAGATAACTCTTTCTCACTTGGTTCATTAATCGACATTGAAATAAAGGAATAAATTGACCACCAAAGATAAATCAGAAATACGGAAACTTACAGAACTTTATTTGGTGAAATGTTTTTATCATTATGACTGTCATACATTGATCATATTCCATCACGTTTCTCCCGAACAGTCAGCATTGATGCTACTCAAAGGTCTTGTATTGAACTACATTTAAGGTAACGTAGTATCACTTATTTTTAACATGACGAAAACCCTTACGAATAAAAATCATACTTGTTTAACAAGTTAGTGCCTGTCTGAATTCAGTAGCTTAAAGAATAACGGGTTAGTATTCTAAAAGTCCTTCATTGGGTTTGAGTCTTAATATTAACAGGTGCATCCAGATGACTGGTCCTAGATAGGACAGGACGTACGTCCTGGATTCCACTGCTAACTACAAAGCGAGTATAATAATGTCAGGTTACATGCTGAAACCTCCCTATTATTTCCACAAGTTTGTATGTGCTCTTGTCCTTAAGTACCGCTAACTCAACGGATGAAGGACAACAACCAACGGACCCCACAAGAACAAAAAGCTTTGAAGCAACTCAGAACTAGAAAAGATATTGACATAGTTCCAGCGGACAAAGGACAAAAAAGAACACATCAAGAAAGCTGAGGAACTACTTGAGCAATCTTGACAACATCCATCTCTATTATTCTCCAACAAAGGACAAGAACTTTGTGTTTAAGCATATACACATCAAGGAGACTCAAATTTTGTAAGTAGTTCATTTCTAATGTCACATGTACTAGAATCATGTATTGGGCTTGATATAAAAGAATATTAAATCTAATATTCAAGCAAATATGTAAATGCAGAGTTGTACAATATAAAAAACAGATAAAAACTTCATTTACTATGATTTTTAGGATATTGTACAGCGTAACCAGGAACAGGAAGTACAACTGAATTTAAAGGGATTTTTTCATTTTCTCCAACTACTAGTGGATGTATGAATGATAATTTAGACGATGGGAGAGAATTCGCCGATGATATTGAAGAGTTGTCTGTTTCTAACACAGATTCGTCGAAGTTAATATCTAAAATGAAAATGTACCAAATATTGATTTATTTAGTATTTAAAAGAAATTTATTGAGGCATACAAATTTATTATTGTAACTAATTTACTAACTACTGGATCCGGTAGTTGATTATGAGCTACACTCTTTATGTATGAAGTCATCATAAGGATGACAGACATTTATTGTTGCAATGTACATATCTTTGGATGAAATCAATATAATCTATTATTTATCGCTGTTGACAGCGTCGAATAATCGCCTATAATAGATTGGTTGAATTTAAGAAATGAACGACTGAGTAATTAGATAGCAATAAGGTTTTAGTAAAAGTTTAACTGTAGGAAAAGTGAGTAATATACAATGTAGATAAGTTCTAAATCAAATAATTATCATGCGCAAGTTGGTTTTCAAAATTGATTTCTTAACTGATATCTATGCATGATGAACACTGACCTTAAATAAATAGCTTCTAAAAATAAATATGTTTTATGTTGACAAACAACATACCATTTTCATAATTATCTGTATTTATTACATTCTGATCATTATAATAAAGATCACCAGGCTTAGCGAAAAAGTCACCAGGATTCTGATGAGTCATACGTAGACTTGCCACATGGTTCCATAAGAAAGATTGATAACTATGTACATAGAGTTGGCGAAGGTTTCGAGGAAGCTAAAAGTGGTTATTTTTCCGAGGAAGAATAAATATATGAACGATGTATAGTAACTTATGATTAAAATTCATGAAGAATAGAAATTAAATTCATTATTTAGTCTTTTAATCCACAGATGTACACGAACCCATGTCTCCGAAAGTATTCCATATGACTTAGCCAACAAAATATGTTTATTTCAATATTCTTTGGATAACTCTGCCAAGCTAATTATAGAACAGAACGTAAATGATGTGATTACTGTATGCTAAAAGTTATTTACAGTTGGCTTTAAAATGAAAGGTACAGTTTAACAACAATAATAATTGGATTTTAATAAATTAAGTTAAGTTGTCGATCTCATCCATACATTTTATGTAAAACCTTAAATCAAAACAGAATAAGATATAGTATAGGCATTAATAATTAGATATCAGATATAATAATAATAATATAACTCATTTGTCAGATACAGATTTATGGACGAAGCTTTTGACTATACTACACAAAGGCTATGGTGATTACTATTGACGAAAATGTGCTCGCTCTGCACGCAATCAGTATTCACAATTATTTGGTTACACACAAATTTACTTTATACGGAGTCGTCTTTGTATTCCTCACTTTACGTGTATGTTTATTTTTTAACTAAATCAACAACTCGCCTCCATTGAAAGCTATATCCTGTCAAAATGGTCTCAAGTCGTTGAATGGTCGAATTAATGAATGGTGCCACCAAATATGACAGATTTTGTAGTGCTAGCCGGAGATTTGATTGCACGCTTCAGGAGTCTAGGCACAGAGGGGAGTCGCTTGGGCGACCAGTGAGGACCCGATGGTCGCATGTCAGATGATAATGACGATTTCTTACAACTTTGTGAAGATCACAACTTACTTTAAACCAACAGCGACTTCCGGTACCGTTATCTCCAATTTGCTTAATGGAGTCCTCCTTCTGAAGACTAGGTGTAGCGAAGCCACAAGCTATATGGTCAGCTATTTTTAGAGGATCATGAAAACACAACCAACACTTGCCTACACTTATCGAGGGATTGGTAGATATCCTTGAACCTAAATGAGTTTGATACTTGGTTGCAACGGAAGGGCTGAATATTTGTTTTTTTGTCCTTACACTTTCGCAAAAAACACCTTCCTAGTGAGTGAAGTGAATAGAATGTCCCTAGTAGAGACTTTAAATATAAGGGTGCATGAGAGTGTTCTAGAGGGAGAATGGATTCTCTTCACTTTCAACTATACCAGGGTATTTAAGGAATCAAGACTTCCAATTAAACTGTTGCATAAAGCAGTATATAATGAATTTCGAAATGTATCCTTGTCTGTACTTCTTCCTACTTATAAAATTACACACTGGTTTTTGTATCTTTACGCAGTTATATTATTTGTACCACACCATTCAGTGCGATCAATATTTCCCATGATATTACGTTGTGTTTGAACAAAAGAAATATCAAGATGGCAAAAGTTCTAGGTCACGGTCTAGTACAACTGGTGTTTACAATACAGTGAACAATGTGTACTATTATTATCGCCACTCCAACAATTACATTTTTAGAACCTTTTATATGTGCATATGCAAATAGAAAGAAAAACTTCTTTGTTTCGCAAATTTAATACAAACTTTTTTTACTAATAGATTAAAACGTCATTAAAGTGTTGTGCGGTATGGACACTAATTAAGAAACAATTCATTTATTAGTATAAAAATCAAAATAGAGTAAACAGATTAACTGATTACTACTAGTTGATAGAATAGAATCAACTTTCCTGAAACTTATTACATGATTGACTAAATGTAACTTATTTACTAAGTAGAGGTGTACGAGCTCTGCGTTGAGCAATATCCTGGTTGTGGCACTAATCGGTTACAACAGAAGAATTAGGTGGAGATAAGCCTTGTTTACCCAAACAAATCACAACTTTAAGTACAGCTACTATATTGAATGAGTATGCTATAGGAAGTAGTGCAGATAAATGGAAAACTTTAATTTAGATTGTCAGTTAACCTAAATCTTGCTACAAAATGTTAGTTGCTTGTGGAATTGATGGATAGAAAAGTCTTCCTGTATTATGCTTAATAATGAACCATTAGAATTTCCTTTCAGTGATTTGGTCTTCGTTATTTTGGAAACAAACAAGTTATAACGTTTTTAATGTGGAATCAAAGACCTACAGCAATTAAAATCTAATACATTTTGATTCTGTGGATTTTGTTTTTCAATCTTTCAATTCAAACTGGATTTAAATAATCGCACACAAATGTGGCCTCATCAGAACAACTTTATGGATGCTTCATAAAATAATTCGATCCGTTTTTATAGGACGATAGAAAAGTGTGAAAGCTGTATTTTAAGGTCTTTCAGCATGAGACTACTTAGATGAGTGCTATATTGCACTACAAATTTATATGGAGGCTATACGTCGGACTAACTTCTTAATATTATGAGATAAACACATTCGGTGTTAATTTGTAGTTATAAAATCTAGACTAGAAATAAATTTTAATGGTAAAAGGGGTGACAGTGTTTAAAGAATTAGAATCCCAATCTAATACTAAAAGCCACATATCCTGGGACATAAATAACTGTTTATAAAATTAGTAGGTAATTGCTTTTATAATTTAGCATAGATAAACAAAAGATCATAGTTTGATTAAAAGGTATCATTTAACTGTGTTCTACATAGACATACCATTTGGATGGCATTCAAACTTTTGCCATACTTCGCAATACCTAACAGTAAAGTTTTTTCTATACCCAATGGACAATCGTCAGCACAACCCTTTGCATCACCGGATTGTAAGAATTTTTCTTTAACTTTTCTAAGAAAAGGTAAATCTAACATAATATTATGTAAGGTATAGCACACACTACCTGCATAAGTTGGTTTCAAGATAAGATCAATAGCGTCCGCCCATTTCGAACGAATAAGATATCTAATAAATAAGAATTGTAACAATAATAATAATAATAATAGGAATAATTATTTATAAGCATATCATGTAAAATAATAAAGATGAATGCATAACTAAAGATGAGAAAAAGTGTCCTGCGAGAGAGTGCAAACTATGATAAAGGGGAAGGGATAAAATTGGGACTAAGAATGAAAGTGTACTAATGTGGCCCAAGTTTGAATGGACTTTTTTGTACATATAAGTTAGGCTTCTTGAAATCGATTCCAATTGCTTTAGCTATACGGAGTAATTATTATTTTGCGCCGCTTAATAAATTACCAGGAACTTGATGTGTAACTGAGAAAGCATTTTCAATCCTGATGCTACGCATACAATCAATTAGGTGAGAAATGATACTATCAATAAATTTAGTAACGCCTTTTCTTAATCATGACTGTACGTGTTTACGATCGCTTAGGGACCGATGCTACTAGCTTCACAGGGACAGTTAAATTGATAGGCGGGTATAGATGAATCCATCACTGGTATCGTATCTATAATTTGCTGGGTTAGTATTAGCTTCGTTGGGAAAGTTACGTGTAATTCGGAGGTACTAACATGCCGAATAACCAGATGCATTTAAACAACTTATAGAACCTTACTCGCTATATTACCTATGTAATTAAGTTTAAGCGTAGAGTTTTCTTCTCAACTGTGGAAGTTCATGTCTTCCTTTTGGGTTCTGTAATGTATTTCCTCATGAAATTACTAAATCATCCATTTTTTTGTAGCGACAACATTAGTTTGTCTAATTCCTCGTTTATATTATCCTCAGAGTAGTTTTTGAATTTTGTGACTTCGAGATTTAAATAGATTGATTTTATGATGCAAGGATGTGACGCTGTGGAAGTGAATATGTTGTTCCAAGATCTTTTTCTAAAAACATTTCTTTGCACCAAACTGTTAGTCATCTCTATTCAATTCAGTTACCTGTTACCAAGTATTCTACAGACGCTAATCCACTTAACTGATCCCGAAATCAGAACACAGCTAGGACAGAAAAGTAATAATATTCTAAAGCAAACCAATCTGAATGGAGATAAATTACAGTAAGAAAAATATTGGTATATTTGTTACTGATACATAGGAATATTCTAGTCTTCTCCATTTATCTAGTGGTGCTGATCGACTAAAAATGGTCCAGCCAGCGTGCTCCAACATAATCCTGAGTGGAACATGCTCTGAAGCAATTTCTACCCTTTTAATACGAACCATTCAACCTTTGAGAGAGAAGGATATCAAAAAATTCTACCTAATTATGGCACTTCACGTGTGGAACTAATCTAAGGGTGTGCATTATTAAATGTTTCTAACAGTTTTCGTGAGTTGACCGTCTTATCACATATAATTAGCTTGTCATTTACGGCAGTAGCATTCTACTTCATTATGATTATCATGTAGTGGTCCATTTTTCAGTCCGATTAGAAAAATATAGGCGAATATTGGACCTAGGGGAGATCTCGTTGCTACTCCATCTATCTGTTTAGGGTCCGTTATTAAACACAAAATGGATATTCGTTGTGCATTATAACAGAAGTTTCTTCACATTATACTTGTATCGGCATCATTTTGAATTACTGATAGATTAAATTATAATTGCTACTTAATCTCTTGATATCTACCATTCATATGCGTCGAAGAACAGTTAAACATTCTCTTTATATTTATGCCCGAAATTCACTAACATTACATAAAATAATAATTGCTTTACAGTGCAATTCATCGAATCTATTAAACATAAGAGATTGTGAAATGTTTCGCTAATTACTGCCATTAAACTTGGTGGCTCTCTTATAGCCCTAAAAATGACAAAAGTTTGCGGTTACAATGGAACAAAAACTGACTACTGTCCAAAATCTTAAAATCACTGAGGATTTTTTGTTTCACATCTTAGTTTACAAAAAAAGATAAATTATTGCGTGGCTAACGGCTTAGTCATTTTGGTTGCTATTCAGATGAGGACTGTCAGGGAAGTTAACAAGTCAATAAAGTTCATCAAGTTACCAGTTACTGTTGAATATTCTTGTACCATTTCCCATCAACTACTAATGTTGGTGTTTAAACTGGACTTCTGATGATATATATATATATATATATATATATATTTGAACAGCTGATTAATACCATTAGGTCTCAGAGAAATTTGGATAGAATTAAGTTAACAATAGATATTTATGAGACAGAATGATTAGATCTATCATACTTTCCAATTTCGAAACTTTTGGATTTGGAAGAATGCCCAAATCTTTGAAGACCGTAATAGTTCACAAAACCAGTGTTTTTCCAAGCCCCGACTGCAGTTTCAACGACGGATCTTGGTGCACACACTGATCTATAGACGAAAAAGCAATATTACTGTGAAGTTGATAAACTAACCTTAGCACAACTACAAACTGATTTCCATCTAAATCTCCGAGAAACAGAGGAGAAGAAACGTATGAAAAATTGCCTAAACGTAAGCCATGAAGCCGTGCATTCAGCAATGATAGTGTTTTCGAATTTATACTATATGAAAATTGGTTATTTGAATAAATTTTACCCTTTCGCTGTAACAAATTGTGTGGTAATTGCTCGACGATCTTTCGTACCAGCAAATGAAAATATACTTGGTCCAACACTAAAATCAAAAGGGAGTAATAAGATAAAACATACTGTAGGAAACGACTGAGAACTTGGATAGCACTAAGTGTGTCTTTACCCTCCTTGTAAAGTACAAAATGGCAGTATGGTGCACTTTTAGACATACCATTGGCTCTTCTTTTAGATTGTCGTGAACCTTTGGCTGAAAACGATAGCAATAATAATTGTGATCTTAGAAACTAACCTTCAGGATGGTCTTTTCGATGTACAACAATCATATTTTCATTGCCGTCTTTTGATGTCGTGCTTTCAAGTGATGGGAATAATGCACGTATTGCTTGGTGGATCTGTGTTCTGTCTGCTTTATTATCTGGGGCCTGATTTTTTAATGATCTCAAATAACTGAGGTACTTTAATTTTTAATACTTCACTATCACCACGGCTCAAATTTTGAAGTCCAGACAAATGAACTTCAAGTTTCTTTTCCATATTAAAATCATAAGCCTAGTATATAAATAAGTGTTTCTAAAAGTTACTTCAGGAGTAGGATCCGGAATTGGTGCTAAATCAGTAAGCTTTGCATAATTTCGACCTCTAAATTCACGGACAATGAAGTCTTCCCATCTGTATGAATATATGTAGTGTTTAAAATCAAACATACCTATTTTTCAACGTTGCCTCAAAACCTTGAACTAAAGGTTGTACAAACGTAGTGATTCCAACTTCTCTGGGTTGAAGGATATCCACTTCATTGTCAGCATTATCAGTTTCCAGAGAACATAATTTAGGGCGCTTGGAGTCCATGAGTAGATCAAATCTAAAATAACAGCTTTAGTAACTAATGTTTGACAAAATAAGATTATAATAGTTGAGGAAAATATTTAAAATCTGTTTGAGTTTTATGAACATGTTATTGATAAGGAGTTTGAAACTAAACACCAACATTGATTTTCTAGTGGAGCGATTTGCTGACATTTTATTAAAAAACGACTATGTGTAAAGCGTTTTATACATCTTAAGTTCTATAGAAAGACACACTATGAATAACTTGGAATATTCAGACTACATTGTTCTCCTGAATGGAATTAGTAAATCAGTCACACGCAGCGAAAAACCTGCCACATATTTGCATCGACTAAATTAGCCACCCCATATTAGCACTGTTAAGTGAGTTCATCAAGACAAGTCTTGGCACAGTAGTAGTACCAGCGACAGTATTAGAAAAAAACTAGACATAAACGATGTTATTTGAAAACAATCAATTCGTGGAACGAAAAGCTGACGAATCATTTAAAACTCAGAATCTGAGGGAAGAAAAAGAGTGAATATATCTGGGCCATTGTGACAGATTCCGAGTCACGTCACCTCAACCGCGTAGCCTGGAATTACCAGCATTGCTACATACAACACCCAATGACTTCATAGGCTATCTACATATCTTTGTTTGGCCATCTCCAGTCTTGTCCCAACCTAGACCAACAGGCTTAGCACATCAAGGTAGGAAGTGGTTGATCAGACGCAATACATGTCTCAACAACCTCTGCATATAAGATTAAGTACTTTATCCATCAATTTCTCATTTTTACCCAATACATTGCGGCTAATCTCGACACTGCTCCCTCCGTAGTCCCAATGTACCCCAACGATGCTTCAAAAGCACAGGTGATCTAATGCTAGTAATCCACGAATATCTTTTATTCTTAAAGGTCACGTTTCAAAGCCACAAGGTGGAATCGAGCAAACTTCTGAGCAGTAAACTCATCTTTTAGTCGGTAGACGTACATCTCTACATCACAAGTGACAGAGGTTGGCAAAAATCGATTAAAGTTTCGTCAAACACCAACCTACTATGGATGATAAGACTTGCAATACAAATCAATTGATTAACGTACTCAAATACTCTGATCCCTATCATAAGTCTAAGCACTGTCGCAGGCAACTTCTTAAGCAACATTTTTTACTTAGAAAGAGAGAAACAAACCTCAAGCCTGTTTGTGTTCCCCTAGGTGATAAGAAGACCAGTTTATATAAGGGTCTCCAACTAATAGAACTATGTCAACTGCATATATTTCCTGGTAGATCGATCCCTGAAAAGCATTGTCGGATGTGAATGCTGGCCAAACAGTTTTTGAATACGAAACTAAATCTATCTTTAGCGATATGGTACGAGATCAGTCTCGTTAAAGACACGGATACGTTATAGTTAAAGACAACGAAGATCTTACAACTATACAGGCTTTTATTTTTTTTTATTTATTTATTTTATTCCAAATCCGTCTACATGAATTTTTATCTAGCAGTAACTAGCAGCTTGGAACATGAAAGTAACGTATTTATGATATACAGTTGTAAAAATGAAACGTTTGGTTTGCTAGTAGTTTTCGAATAAACAAGTCACCAATAAGCAGACAAGAATTCATGATGAGACTATAATTTATGGGCGACCTTTGTGCGACGCTAGACTGAACTTGAGAGTGTCCACCTAATATTTGGGACCAAATGAGTGTTATAAACCTGTGTGAGGAATTAGATGGTTAAGGCTAGGAATTAGATTTAGGGTTTCCATCACGAACTGACATAAGCTAAATGCCAAAACTCTATTTAGTTAAATGGATGAGTGAATTTCGTGCCAAAATCCAAGACCTATTTTCTTATACCTGATTGGTTAGTCCACAATTTATAGTCTCGCCAAATTCATAGTTAGGTACGTTGAACACATTACTTAATACACAATCACAACACTACTGCGAAGTCAAAAAGTACATAAAAGAGAACCAAATCATGCCTTATTGCAAATAAATCCGTAGACGCTGAAGATATGATCACAAGCCCTCTGATTCTTATTTAAATTTACTGGAATAATCGTAGATTAAGTTACTTTATACCTTGATTACATTTTCAACTGTTTATGATCTAGAATGAAGCCAACGCACTGTCCGATATATAGCACTATACAACGAAAATGCTTATGCAACAAATGAATAACTGGCTCTAGTACTTAATGACTTGACAGTGAGAAAACTCTACAGTCCACATAATAGTGTTGTGGTTGTAGCGATCGAAAATATTAGGTGAAGTGAAGTGCATTTCTCACAATATTGTTTCCTCACACGATGTCTATGCAGAATAACGACATTTGTACTGCGTCAAGAGTATTTATCCACATATTAAAAGGATTTTCAGTAAATTGTATGTGAACAGTAAATAAATGTACCAACTACTTTGAAGAACAAGTTTGTTGTTAACTTCTGAAATGAACAAGTTAAACACTTAGTAAGCGGTTAGTTATTTATGATGTGCCATGAAGTGACCTCACGAACTGAGGTAAGGTTCTCAATGTACTAGGAGAACAGCTGTAAGTCGAGGTAACAAGGCATTTTTGTAGCTGAACACTTGAAGTTACCAGACATAGTAGCGGTTAAATATATGACAACGCAATTTATATGAAGTGTGCAATTTTTTTTATTTTACTAGGCTTATAGTGCTTTGTGTTAGCAAACGAAATTTACAGCTGGGAATACTGATTAAACTAACTTGATACATATTAACATGCTGCATACAAACAATAGCTACATACACAAAAACGCCAGTGTAACAAAAACCAAGAATTATGCAGGCTGAATTCGCTAGTGTTTTAACCATTTTAATAACGTAGTCGTTTCACAAAAATGTTTGAGTGGAGTTGTATTAATACAGTTCTTCCAGACAACTATCCTAAGACCTCTTTGTTTATTTACTCAATGCAAATTAACATGATTGAATGCTAACAGTCCATTTCTCTTTGAAGACCTCTGTAAACACTTACAAACAGATAAATTTGTCTTCAGTCGGTCCGTTTACTGCTATCAGAGGGGCTATCACCTGTGTCAGTTATGATTGCCCAAGGACAGTAGAAGCTTCAAAATCTAGTGAAATGTAGTACTAGATTAATATAATATAATTTACAATTTTTTACGCATTCTTAAGTGCTAGACATAATATTTCCGAATACCAAAAGCACGCCGAAACGTACCGACTTACAAAAATGAACCGCGCAACCAAATCCCAAGTTCAGTTTCAGTTTGGAAACGACAGGAGGCTTGATAGCCTGTGTTAGTCCTGGAAATGATGGTCTCTCAGTTGATCCGACTTGCTCTTGAAAGAGTCGATGGGTGGAGCCTCGAATCACGTGCTGAGGTAATGAATTTCACTCGTTGATGATTCGATGAGAAAGTCGATGGTCAACTGGCAAGTAATTTGTCCTGGGTTTGTGAACATTTTGGAGTGTCCTCGTAAATTCTCTGTTTCAGAAAACAGGAAAAATGAGGGAATATCACGCACAAATTTATCACTAAGCAATTTGAAAACTGTAATCAAGTCGCCTCTAGTTCTTCGATATGACAAAGGTAATAGGTTTAACTTGACTATTCGGGCATCATATGGGAGCTTTGCTATTTCGTAAATCAGCTTAGTTACTGTCCTCTGAACTTTTTACAAAAGTTCACTGTCTTTTCTTAAGCAGAGGCTAGCCGCTTGTATGCAGTACTGAAGTTTAGGACGTACGAACACTGTGTACAAAGTCAAACACGTTTTCCCGTCGACATGACTAAAAGCCCTACGTATTGACCATAAGGTTCTAAAACCTCTGGCGGCTATTGCACAGCAGTGTGCAGTAGTCTTTAAGTCTTGGCTAACGGTGACTCCTGAGCCATTATGTGTCTGGACGACAGGTAGCTCAATGTTGTTCATCGTGTATGTATCTGTACCTTTATGACCGATATGCATGTGAAAGAAGAGACTAGGTACGACAAGTTAATGGCAAATTAATGTAGGTCCTCCGTCTCTTTACGAAGTTGAAAAAGCCATGGGAAATCTGAGGCGAGAGAGAGCGGCAGGCCTTGACAGGTTTACTCCTGAGATTTTTAAGGATGGTGGTCCAGTATTGGCAGTGAGATTAACCGAGGTCTTAGGTAGAATCTGGGAACTGAACGTAATCCCATCTGACTGGTCTCAATCAATGATTGTGCCAGTCTATAAGAAGGGAAGAAAAGTTCCCTTGTGATAATCACAGAGGAATCAGTTTGAATAATATAGTGTCTAAAATATTAGCTTCCATAATACTTCGACGCCTAACTAAAGGTCGTGAAGAGCAGACTAGAGGAAACCAGGCTGGCTCGACTAGCTTTTGTCAACTTGCGTCATTTATGGTGTAGGCGAGATATCCGTCTATCAACCAAAGGACGTGCTTACTGCGCACCAGTTCGTTCCGTCCTACTTTATGGCAGTGAAACATGGCCGGTAAGAGTAGAGGATATTCGTAGGCTACTAGTATTTGATCATAGGTGTCTTCGAAATATTGCTCGTATATTCTGGGACCACCGAGCAAGTAATACGGTTGTTGGGAAACGGGTACTAGGTAAGGATGGCAAATCGACTGATGAAGTAGTGAGACTTCATCAGTTGAGATGGCTGGGACACGTGTTACGTATGCCCAACCACCGACTGCCTCGACGCGTGATGTTCAGTGGTATAGGAGTAGGTTGGAAGAAAGCTAGGGGCGGCCAAACCGAAACATGGCACAAGTCCATGAAGTCACTGACAAATAGACTGAGTCATATTGGTAGGTGTAGACTACCTGGTTGGGGGACTGCGAGATGATAGCAACCGATGGTTAGAGACCCTGAATGACATGGCTCAAAATCGTTTGCAATGACGCAGGTGCATCCTCTCTTTGTGTTCTCCTAAATTCTAATCTTCCGAGTTTTTCATGTCCCTTCCTTCTTCTTTCTAAGTTTATTTCAATGTATTATACTCTTTGAATAACATCTTCAAACCCTAATCTTTCCAATTACTGCTTATACTCTTACTACCTCTACCACTACGGATTTGAGTCGACCACTGCATCTCTGTGCTAATGTAGTATGGCAACTCGAACTGATGTACGTACGTACGAAGTTCTACGTTGTTACTGACTGACTCTTTCACATGTTGCACTAGAGCACATGTGGTAACCACATCAACTAGTTCCTGCTCCAAAGAATTATCTGACGATTCAGTTCGCAATTTTTCCCAGTCTACTATAGGTGCAATAAAGTCCCCAAGGGTTAGACATCGACCACTTTGTGACCAAGTATTGAGACTGCTTAGCAGAACCTCATTCACCTCACAGCTTGGACTGCGATAGACCAAACCAATCAGCAGCTCTTGTCCCTTGCATTTCAGGAGGCAACTAACTGATTCACACGTCCCACTCTCATGGGATACACTGTCGATAATGGCAAATGGGATAGCATTCCTAATGAATAGAGCTACTCCCTCTCCTTTACGCTTTTGTATTCTGCCGGCTCTTACTAACGCAAAACCCTCAAAATCAAGTTCCCTGCTGTCTATAGACTGTGTCAGCCAGGTTTCTGTGGCTGCGATTATGTCTGGCTTCGTAGAGTCATTCTGTACACCTAGTTCCGATAGCTTATTGGGTAAGCTTCGGGCATTAGTGTAACAGATACGAGGCCTATTTAAGTGGCTTCGTGCTTCACCCAGAGTGGCTTTGGCATCATTCTCTGTCGAAACCTTACAACTCGAAAATTTACAATTTTTATGTCTTTTTCCCCGGCGTCTAACCTAAGTTGTAGTTCTTTTTCGGGATTCCGTCTTTTTACACGGTCTGCCAACGGCAAGCCCTTACGGATAAAACTCCTGAACACTAGTTTATGTCCATTCTGTAAAATTAGGTCGCATTCATTTGAAGATTTGAATACTACTTTAAAAAGTCTGGATCGATTAGGCCTCAAGTTCGCTTGACTATCTTGTCTGTACACCTTTAGCAAGGTGACTCCGGGGATATTTTGAGGCATGAGTTGATTAAGCAGCTGCTTAACCAGCACGATGTCATGTTCAAAACGAGTTTCTGGTTCGGAGCTCTAACTCTCTTCGGTTCTATGAAAAATAACTGATCTGTCACTGTGATCGGCCTTCGATATTTCGGCTACTTTTATGGAGGCAGGATTCCCTTTTATATCGCTATGTTGTTTCTTCCTTACAATCTGTACCAATTCGTCAACGGTGCTAGGAGAAGCAACAGCAGTTCCGTCAAGCCTACTGTTGGATTCTGGAGGGTTGTCGACGACCTGGGATATCAGGTCATGTTTCCCGCTAGAGACCGATAGAGCCTTGCGATTGCGGCTTCTGGGAGTTTCCTGCTGGGTGCCATTTGGAAGACAGGGAACAGAAACACCTTCTTTTCTTGAGTCTTTGTTTAAGACAGACCTCTTTGGAGACTGTTGTTCCTTCTTTGATCGGTGTGAGTCACCTATTTTCGAAACCACCTGAGTCCGCTTCATATCAAT